AAATACAGCAACACATGCTAACACACACTGTAATATACACTGTATCACAATATACACTATAACAAATACAGCAACACATGCTAACACACATTGTAATACACACTGTATCACAATATACACTGTAACAAATACAGCAACACATGCTAACACATCATCAACACACACTGCAATAACACACAGTAACATATACTGTTACACACACGTTAAAACACTGTAAAAGAACACTAACACTGTAACACATATAAACACACACACTGTAGCATACATATACACACACACACACACACACACACACACACACACACACACACACACACACACACACACACACACACTATTCAAGTGAAACATAGTAAGCAGAGTTGGTGGCTCTGAGTTTCAGAGTTGTTCAGCTCTAAATTAATTCACGTATTGATCAGATCAGTAATGACCAGGTTCTGTTCCGTCCAGGTCGCACCCCTCCAAGGATCCCCGAGCCGTTTCCTGCACCTCCTGAGGACGGTGAGTCCACTTGAAACGGGTCTCTGGACTGTACTCAGATGAATGTTGCAGTGTTGTGTTGGAGTCCAGTGAGCTGAGCAGCAGATAAACAGCCCGCTGCATCAGTGAGAGTAAATTAAAGTTGATCCATATTTTAATGTCAAACTCCTACAGCTAATTACATCATAACAGATCTGCACTTTTTAAATTTAAAGCTTTGCTGCAGGTTTGTCTTCTTCCAGTTTGTAGCTAATGTTTCCTGGACAGTGTGAGTCTGGATTTGATCAGGCTTTTAAAATGTTTCGGTTCATTCCTGCAGCTTTTCTCTAAACACAGTTTGTTGTTTCCTGTTGGAGGGGACCTGCTGATAAAGATGGTGTCTCCTCCTCCTTTCAGAGAACGTGAAGGTGATCGGGCGGCAGCCGAAGGACATGATTCCTCCTTTTCCTGACAAACAGAAGGTTAGTGAAGGCAGCAGCTTCAAGCCCCATGAGCATTACTCCAGTTCTATTTTGTATAGGCTTCGCCCTTTAAGGCCGTCGCTGGTGGGTTTTATCCCATCACACGAAGCGTAGCACTGAAAACTTTAGTCCATGCCCACCCGTTGTGTGGGCCTCACCCGGTCCGTATAAATTACATTGAGAGCGGGTAATCGGCTCCCATTTTTCTTCAGCAAGCAACCAGCACTGATTTTCACAAGAACGCGATGTCCAGCACCATCTGCCTGTGCCTGTCCTGCAAGACCAGCTACATGCTGAGTTTCGACCGGCACGACATCTGTGAAGGTTGCCTGGGTCCCCGCCACGCCTCCTCCTGCCGTCTCTGTGACCTCCTTCCTCCTGAGGAGAGGCAGAGGCGAGCAGCCTTGTTCAAGGCTAACGTCGAGGAGTGCCTCTCCGTGGCGGGGGACTGTTCGCTGTTACGCCATCGCCTTTTTTTACGCCGAGTCACGGAGAGAATCGGATGATTCCTCCAGGACAGGCAACGTCAGCAGCAGCCCCGCTGCTCATTCCCTCCCGGAGAGCTCAGTGTTGGAACGGGGGGTGCCGAGCGGATGCTCACCCCTCCCGGGCCTTTCCGCATCAGCGAACACACTGCTCCCAGCCGTTGGTGCCCTCCTCTCTGAGCTGCTCGGCATAATCCAGGAGGCGGCTTACACGAAGGGACTTTCCGTCCCTCTCCTCCCCCCACCCAGATTGGATGATCTAGCGGGAAGGTTTGGCTCCACCCCAGCTCGCCGCCCTGACCCCATCTAGCTTCGTTTCCCGGCAGTGACGTCCTACTGGAACGAGGCTGCAGCCGGACCTGGTAAACTGAGAGCGCCCATCTTCACCTTCGCTCCCATTACCAGAGTGGAGGGGTTTACTGAGCGGAATTTTCCCTCGGTACCCCCCCTGGAGCCACGCCTATTTTCACATTCCAATCATTCCAAAACACAGAAAGTTCCTGCGCTTCTCCTTCCAAGGAACCCAGTACCAGTACAACAGGCTCCCGTTCAGCTACTCCCTCGCACCACGTACGTACATTTTCAAAATGTGTGGAGACGGTTCTGCAGCTGCTACACAGAGCAGGGATGAGAATTTTTTTCTACTTGGACGATCTACTGCTGTTAACTCGATCCAGGCAGGAAGCAGCTGCACAAACCAAAGCGCTGACGTCATACCTGCTAAACCTGGGTTTCGCCATAAACTGGGAGAAGAGTTTGGTTCTCCCGGCCCAGATGATCGTTTACCTGGGAGTGGAGCTAAACTTGTCACTATGAGGGCCCGCTTATCACAGACGAGAGACGAAGCTCTAAAAGACCAGCTCCTCCGCGTAAAACCCGGCAGAGTAGTAACAGCCGTTTCCATCATGAAACTGCTGGGAACGATGTTGTGAGCTCACGCTGTGGTTCCGCTGGGCTTACTCCACATGAGATGTCTTCAGAGGTGGTTCGCTTGTCTACGTATAGATCCGGTACGTCAGAAGAGGCGGATGATCTCTGTGCCCCCCTCCGTGGGAACTGACCTGAAGCACTGGGGAAACCCTCTCACTCTGTCGGAGGGAGTTCCTATCAGCAGACCTACGTCACACGTCTAAGTCTTCACAGACGCGTCCCTGTCAGGCTGGGGAGGAACGTGCCTGTCTCAGGCAGTGGGGGCGCTGTGGCCACCTTGCACATCAGCTCATATAAACGTTTTGGAATGTCTCACGATTTTGAATGTGATTCAGCATTTTGCTCCCTTGTTGCAGAATCAGCATGTTCTGATTCACACAGATAACAAAGTGACTGCAGCTTACATAAACCGGCAGGGGGCCGTGCGCTCAGCCCAATTGTTACACATTGCGAGGCAGCTGTTGTGTTGGGCACACAAAAACCTGCTCTCCATCAGAGCAGTGTACATCCCCGGCGTCCTGAACAGAGGAGCGGACATAATGTCCAGGGGTGGTCCGCGCCACGGGGACTGGAGTCTCCATCCCGAGCTGATTTCTCGGATTTGGAAACGGTTTGGGAGAGCAGCAGTGGATCCGTTTGCCACACGGGAGAACGCCCAGTGCCAACTATTGCCCCATTTCCACTGTCACGGCGCGGGTCGGATATTTCCAGCTTGACGCGTGTTTGAGGTCTTTTCCATGGTTCTTGGGACCAGCTCGCCTCCTTAAATTCTGGCCCGGCTTCTCAAGGGGTCCAAGCAACCTGAGCCGTGACGTCAGAAACACTATCGGTCACTGATTGGTCAGGGGGAGGAGTCTATGAAGTCTTTCCAAACAACCCGATCCGCCATTTTTCTCTCCCGCCTGCCATTAGCGATAACTCGAGGAGCGTATCTTTTAGTATCTTTTGAAGCTATACACAAACAATAATATCAAAGCCGCGGTCAAATGCAGAATTGCAGGTGGTGTTGTGCTTGGTGGCCGAAGAAAAAAGTCAAAGCGAGCTAGATGGAGCGATTGGAGGGTGGTTTGGACACGGCCACTGCTCTACTTGAATCATTTATAGAAGATGGTGAGTGTTTTCTAACGTTAAACATATTTTAAGTTACTCATCCCATCGGTTCTGAACATATTTTTAACTAACAAATGAGGCTGACGCCATAATAGGACAACATCGGTGTTACGATACTAAGCTAATTTGCATAAATGCTAACTGTCCTCCGGTCCCGTTTCTCACTGTATTTTATCCAGAACGTATTTCAGCGTGTGACGGTCCATCTCTAAACTCCACATTAAACCCTCCAAGCCTCCCGGCTTCTGCCCCTGCTCCATCAGCAGAGTCTGCACCTGACAGGTCTCCATCACAGGCTCGCAGCCCACCTGCACCTCACAGAGGAGCACAACGCTGCAGCCTTCTATGCTTGGTAAGAACAGATGCAACATGTTCCACATCACTTTATTTGTGCCGATAAGGACTTGCTTTTATTTTATTTTTAAAGTAAAAAAATAAAATGTTGAATTGGGATGGAATTATGTACAAACCGGGTTCCAAAAAAGTTGGGACACTAAACAAATCGTGAATAAAAACTGAATGCAATGATGTGGAGGTGCCAACTTCTAATATTTTATTCAGAATAGAACACAAATCACAGATCAAAAGTTTAAACTGAGAGAATGTATCATTTTAAGAGAAAAATCTGTTGTTTCCAAATTTCATGGCGTCAACAAATCCCCAAAAAGTTGGGACAAGTCCATTTTTACCACTGTGTGGCATCCCCCCTTCTTCTTACAACACTCAACAGATGTCTGGGGACAGAGGAGACCAGTTTCTCAAGTTTAGAAATAGGAATGCTCTCCCATTCATGTCTAATACAGGCCTCTAACTGTTCAATCGTCTTGGCCCTTCTTTGTCGCACCTTCCTCTTTATGATGCGTCAAATGTTCTCTATAGGTGAAAGATCTGGACTGCAGGCTGGCCATTTCAGTACCCGGATCCTTCTCCTACGTAGCCATGATGTTGTGATTGCTGCAGAATGTGGTCTGGCATTATCGTGTTGAAAAATGCAGGGTCTTCCCTGAAAGAGATGACGTCTAGATGGGAGCGTATGTTGTTCTAGAACCTGAACATAGTTCTCTGCATTAATGGTGCCTTTCCAGACATGCAAGCTGCCCATGCCACAAGCGCTCATGCAACCCCATACCATCAGTGATGCAGGCTTCTGAACGGAGTGTTGATAACAACTTGAGCTATCCTTGTCCTCTCTGGTCTGGATTACATGGCATCCCAGTGTTCCATGAAGAACTTCAAATCGTGACTCATCTGACCACAGAACAGTCTTCCATTTTGTCACACTCCATTTTAAATGACCCCTGGCCCAGTGCAAACGTCTGAGCTTGTGGAGCGTGCTTAGAAATGGCTTCCTCTTTGCACTGTAGAGTTTCAGCTAGCAACGGCGGATGGCACGGTGGATTGTGTTCACTGACAATGCTTTCAGGAAGTATTCCTGAGCCCATTCTGTTATTTCCTTGACAGTGGCATTCCTGTTTGAGGTGCAGTGACGTTTAAGGGCCCGGAGATCACGAGCATCCAGTAGAGTTTTACGGCCTTGACCCTTACGCACAGCGATTGTTCCAGATTCTCTGAATCTTTTGATGATGTTATGCACGGTTGATGATGATAACTTAAAAGTCTTTGCTATTTTTTGCTGGGTAACACCATTCTGGTATTGTTGCACTATCTTTCTGCACAACAATGGTGGAATTGGTGATCCTCTTACCATCTTGGCTTCTGAGAGACACTGACACTCTGAGAAGCTCTTTTTATACCCAGTCATGTTGTCAATTGACCTAATTAGTGTTAATTGGTCTTCCAGCTGTTTGTTATATGCTCAATTTCCTTTTTCCAGCCACTTATTGCTACTTGTCCCAACTATTTTGGGATTTGTTGACACTGTGAAATTTTGAATCAACATATTTTTCCTTTAAAATGTTACATTTTCTCAGATCAAACTTTTGATCTGTCATCTATGTTATATTACGAATAAAATATTGACATTTGCCATCTCCACATCATTGCATTCAGTTTTTATTCACAATTTGTTTAGTGCCCCAACTTTTTTGGAATCCGGTTTGTACACAGGGTCCCAGTTACAGACAACAACATGTAAAAGAAAAACAGTAATAAGATCTAAGATATGAATTAAGAAAAATATCAAAAAACATCTACTAATAATAAACTAAGCACTAATAGAAGTAAACAATCAAAACAATTTGTCAAACAGCAACATGAACTTGAGTTTGTGCAGCCTTATGAATATCTTTGTTCTTTTTTTTTTTTTTTCCTTGCTACTCTACGGTGAAACCAGACGTGTTTTCCCTCTCTGCCCCCCCACCCGGTTCCCTGCTGCGCTCTTTTGTCCTGTGAACCCTTAAAAAGCCTCTTTTTTTTCCCTGCATACCTCTTAATTGGAAGGATCAGCTGGTCTCTCAACAAAATCGATCAATTTCTCCCGACAGGAGTCAGGGTAAGGAGGACCCTCTGACCTCT